GGTCTTTAGTGTTTAATATATCAAATCTGTTCTTCAGATGATCTCTAAATCCAGGTGAGATATATTCAGGGTCATATTTTGGCTCTCGTGGACTTGTTTTCATTTTCTTCAGCTTCAGTTTGAATTTGCATATGGGTAATTGATGGTGTGTTTCACAGTCTGCCCCTGGCCTTGTTTTCACTGATGATATGGAGCTTTTCCATCGTCTCTTTCCCTTTCCGCAGATGTAGTCAATTTGATTTCTGTGTATTCCATCTGGTGAGGTCCATGTGTATAGTCATCTCTTATGCTATCTAAAGAAGGTATTTGAAAGGAAGAAATCACTGATTTTGTAGAATTATATCATGCGTTCTCCAGCATCATTTCTATCACCAAGGCCATATTTTCCAACTACTGATCCTTCCTCATTGTTCCAAACCTTTGCATTACAATCCCAGTAATGATCAATACATCTTGATTGCATGTTTGACTAGATCTGTAGGAACTCCAAAAAGCAGATCATGAAACCCAGGAGCACAGAGGGAAAACTGAAATGATGGTGCCTGCCCTCCTGACTCACAGGTGATCACACATGAAAGATGTCTCCACCTACTTTGCCCCTTTCCCTTACAGGAGGCTGTGAATGACATCATCTCTGCTCTGAAGCTGGACCCAGGCACTGTGGTCCCGGAAATCCGCTCACTGAAGCCAGAAGCTCAGACCCTTATCACCCAGGGCATCTATACCCACTGTCAGACTCTCCTGAGCCAGCAGCTGGACACTGAGGTGCCCCTCAGTGACAAGGATGCCCAGGACCTCCTTGCCATGGGGGAGACACTGGTCAGACTTGATGCCCCACAGCCAGGCTGGCACATCCTCCTCACAGATGTGCTCATGTCTCTAGGTGAGTCTCAGCCCAGGATGGAAATTCAGTCATCTGCCGTGGGTTCCATAATCCATGTGTTTCTTCAATAGATATGGATTGAGGGTCCATGAGATTGCAGGTGTTGTTCTAGGTGGACTGTCTTCGATCTGTCTGCAAACACCCATGTCACCTGACGAGGTGGGAATGATAGTCAATTCTCATTCTTCATGGTACCACCTGTTACCTTCCAGTCAGTTCCGATCATGGTAACCCCATGTGTGTCAGAGTAGAGCTGTGTTCCAAAGAGTTTTCAGAAGTAGATCACCAGGCCTTTCCTCTGAGGTGCCTTTGGGTGGACTTGAGCCTCCAAACCTTCAGTTAGCAGTTGAGCATGCTATCTGTCTGTGCCTCCCAAGGCCTCCTATTGGAAGTGAGGATGGTCATTTCAAAAAGTGATTGGTTTGGGGGTGACCCTAAAACAGGGCCAGGGGTTAGTGAGGTGATGCTGGAGGTGAGACCTTGATGTTCTGCAAAGTGGTCTGAGCACTGAATTTGCAAACACTGCATCAGCCTTGCTGGACATCAATTGGGAACAGGCGCATCAGGCAGCTCAAGTATGCTACCACCATGCACCTGCAAGTGCCCAGGAATCACTTCAAAAGTACTATGTGTAGTGATTTGGGAGTTACAGATACACATGAGCAAGTAGACAATGTGACTGTCTGCTGACTGTCTTTCCCAACCTCCAACAGGCAGCTATGAGGAAGCTGGTATCCGCCTGCAAAACTCTTTAAACTCCACTCCACCATCGGAGGCGGCCCAGGCCCGGCTCGGCCTGCTCCAACTCAAGAAGGGAGATGTGTCCACTGCAGCACAGAACCTGCAGGGCCTGGTGGAAAAGAACCCCAGTGATCTCCGCTTCCTGCTCCATCTTCTGGAGGCCTCTGAGCGGCAGAGCCTGGCCCAGGTGCGAGGTAGCACAGCCGGCCCCCCAGGGGTGTTTTCATTGTCTCTTCTTCACCCTGTTGACGAGGGATGGAGTCTTGCTCTAGGGCTCTGAAGACATAATGACATGTGACCCTGGAGAGATGAGATCATTATACTCACACTGCACATCATTCAGGGCCTCGTGAAGGTGCACTCAGGAGCAAAGTAGACAACCAGGGACTGTGGAGGCAGAGTTTATAGTAACAAGAGGGTGGGGTGCCCTTGTGATTGGTTTATTTCAATAATCAATAGTGCTGACCCACTATTCAGGAATAAGCAGAAACTGCACCTGCTGTGTGTAGTAAGGAGGGTGGTTTGGCCAGAAGATTTCATCTGCAGAGCAGAGAGGGAGGGGAACTTGTGGTTTAGCCACATGAGTCGCTGCTGATAGATCAGATGTCAAAGCACCCGTAACATGTGCCCTAAGTGTAGATCGTACACCATTCCCTTCTGGTTGTTTCAGCCTGATTCTACTTGCCAGAAACAGAACTGATTCAGAGTGGAGTTGGACCTGTGATTAGGAGACCTTGGTAGTCTCCACCTAAATCTTGAAAACCCCCACTGACCTAGTTCTTTCTTTGCATATAAACCAATGTGACTTGGGGTGGAGGAGAGGGAGGGTGCCACCTCCTTAAAGCTGGGTTGTACCAGCCAGAAGCACCCCGATTCCCAGGAAGCCCACCCCACCTCCAGGTCACGTCAGAGAGTCAGCATTCCCTCCCAGGGACGAGTGGTGGGGGCGTGTTGATGGGAGACAATGGTTCTGCAGGATGAGGAACTGAAAGTAGGGCCTTGAAGGGGCACTAGGCTGGAATCGCTGCCTCATGACAAGCTAACTTTCCTCCAAATCATTTAGTCCAAAGAACTGAGCACCCTGCCACCGGATGTGGGCACTGTGCTGGGGGTGGAGCCATGAGCAATGGGGGACCTCGTGACACTCACATCTCAGTGGGAGAGAGAGACAGCAAGTGAGGATGATCATTTCAGAGAGAAATTGGTGTAGGAAGACTCAAACTGGGCAGGGGGATGTGAGGTAATGCTGGAAGTGAGACCTCATTGAGAAACAGCCAGAAGGCTCAGGAGCTGGTCAAAGTCCAGGCCAGGGGAAAGGCAGAGCCTGCAGCTAGAGAAGAGCTCGAGAAGTTCAAGAAAACAGAACCAAGCCGTGTAACTGGAGTACAGTGAGAGTAGGAGAGGCAGTGAGGTTCTGGTCAAGCCCTCACTGGAAATCAGTTTAAAGGAACCATTAAGGGGAGACGGGCAGGGGGTCCTGGCTACTGGTTTGACTACTTTGTGCCTGGCACCAAGTAACTGCTCCACTGACTAGAGGCCAGGCACAAGACCACCTAGAGGAGAGGTAGTGGAGGGGCTGAGCAAATAGAAACGGCAGAGTGGTTTTCCTGCACTGGTTGAATTTAACCTTGGCAGGGAGAGAAAAGGCAGGTTTGGGAAGCCAGGGAGCTGCGGAATGAAATCTCCGTGCAGCCTGGGGAGAGGATTACACTTCCTAGTCCTTGTTTGGTCATTTCTCTGATGGGTTCTGTAAGTCAGACTCCAATCACTGTTGCAACCTTGGTGGTTTAATAGAGGGGTGGGCTGAAAGGACAAAAGAAGAGGAGCAAGTCGGCTAAAAAATGTTTTTAAAACCCACTGCCATCAAGTCAGTTCCAACTCAGGTGACCCTGTAGAGTTTTCGAGACTGTCAATCTCTGAGCTCAGAGGAACTGTGGTCTCTGAGTCCTGAGGTGTCTGTGTGGTTAGGGGTCTCTAAGCTCAAGAGAAGAGGGCTGGAATGTGGTCTCTGAGCTCAGAGGAGAGGGGAGTGGCCTGGGGTGGGGGTCTGGGGTCTCTGAGTTCAGAAAAGTGCCGCTCAAGTTGGTAGGGGCGGGAGAGGAGTAGTCAGCCTGGAGTTCCCACAGCAGCTCTCGTCTGTGCCTGACCGTTGCCCGGAGACCGGGAGACGCTGGCAGACCCGGAAGGCATCGCTTCTGAACTTCCTGCGCCCCGCCCACAAGCGCCCTGTAGTTGTAAAGGCCATTCCTCCCGAGAGTGGTACAGTCCTGTTTGGGGGAGCACCTCGCCTTGATCCATAGATTCCTAGTTGGGTCTAGGTGACCAAGAAGGGTCCCCCGCTGTGATTAAACACCTCTTTGTTGTTGTTAAGTGCTGTCTAGTTGGTTCGGTTCCTACTCATGTTGTTGTTGTTAAGTGCCGTAGAGTCGGTTTCGACCCATAGCTACCCTGAACAGGGTTTCCGAGGCTGTAAATCTTTACGGGAGCACATTGCCTCATCTTTCTCCCGTGGAGCAGCTGGTAGTTTCGAACTGCTGACCTTGCGGTTCGCAGCCTGATTCGTAACCACTACGCTACCAGAGCTCCTACTCATAGCGACCTTATATAGGATTTCTGAGCTGGTGGGTTTGAACTACCAACCTTGTTGGCAGACCAGTATGTATCCTATAGAGCCACACCAGGACTCCAAACACCTCTAGCGCCCGAAGAAATCTGAGATGGCGTTAACCCAGACCGAGATTTTTTGTTGTTGTTGTTGGTTTGTGGGTTTTCTTGTGGGTTTTTTGTTTTGTTTTGTTTTTTTATTGCGAGGGTGTGGGGATCAGAAACTCCCAACTGAATGACACCTTGAAGGAAGAATCAGCGTTCCAGATCGACTGTGGACCATGGCTGGACTGTAGGGGAAGAGTCCAGGCTTGTCCCGGCCCAGGTGAAGGGGAGCAGGTGGTAGACGATGCCTCAGTGAATCTTAGGTGGGGCCCTGCAGACAAACCATCCCTCTGGGGGTGGGAAAAAAAAAAAAGCCGGAAGTGGAGTCCATTCACCTTCTGCACACCATTATCAGAATTGCATGCACTGTCTGACTCCATGTGAACTGCCCACTCTAGCTCCACAAAGAGTCAACAGTCGCAAGCCCCATGTCATAGGTGAGGCAGCTCAGATCGGGCAGTTACTAGGCCAGGGACACATAGCAAAGGGGAAAAGGTGGATTCAGACCCAGGCCTAGTGACTCCAGTGCCTTCCTCCACCCCATCCTGAGAGTCAGGAGAACTAGGGATATTGTATGGAGCCCTGGTGGCTTTGATCATATGTTACCTCAAGGTCAACAGTTCAAATTCACCAGCCACTTCTCGGGAGAGAGGAAACTTTTTCTACTCCCGTAAAGATTTACAACTTCTGTAGTGCTGTGGGTTAATATGCTGGACTGCAAGATCGGTTTGAACTGCAAGGTTGGCCGTTCAGGCTCACCAGCCAGGGACTATGAGTCAGAACTGACTCGACGGCACTTAACAATAACAACAACAACAAACAAACCATATGTAGGATCACTAGGTGTTGGAACTGACTCAATGGCAGTAGGTAAGTAGGTAGGTACTGTATGGTATTATATGGTGTGTATTGTATGGTGTGAGGCTGAGTGCATTCAGTAGATCCCGGCTGCAGTAGAAAAAAGGGGCTGTGAGAAAGGCAAGGTCTTGACTATGCTGTCATCTTCAGAAAGTGGGAGCTGTTGTAGGTTCTTGAGGAGAGAAGAGTCTTTTATGTAAGCTGGTTGATCCACAAGGTGGTTTGGAAGTAATCTTATTCATAGCTGAGTCTTGGGTGTGAACTCTGGCCCCAGATTAGAAAGGGAAAGAGGCAGAGGGTGGACTGGCAGGGAAGGGCAGGATCTTGTCCTTCAGTTCCCAGGGAGAGGAGACTAAGGTGGTGAATATGCACTACTTGAGCAAGAAAGCGAAAGCGGGAAGGAGAGGCGATAGTGGAAGACATAGTGAGATGGTAGCTAGTGGACAAATCAGAGGCTGAAAGCGGGAAGAGCCTGTGGAAATAGCCCTTGTTGACTGGACAGCTTCCAGGTAGGTGTGGTTGCAGGAAGGAGGGCCTATGTCCTGCCCCCCACCCCCACCCAATCTCACCACCACCACCCCCTTTGGAGAAAGTCGGCAACCCCTTTGCCCAGGAGGCCATTCCAGGGATAGGCAGCGACGACGCAGTGTGGAGGGGTTGTGGCCGGTGCGGAGGTTAGCGCATTTTCGGTTGTAGGGTTTGGGCTGACCAGCCTCATGCTTCTTGTGCAGGCCGCTGCCCAAGAAGCCAGCGCTCTCCTGGACGCGGGACTCCCGAGTCAGGCGCAAGCCTTCTGCTCACTGGCTGTCCTGGCGGATGGAGACAGTGCCCAGCACCTGCGCACGAGGGCTGCCTGCCTGGCTGAGCTTCGGGAATTTGGTCCAGCGCTTAGGGACCTAGACCGCGTACTCCAGAAGGGAAATGATGACCTCCCGACTCAAGCAGAGGACTTCTGTACCCGGGGCCGTCTGCTGCTGAGCCTGGGGGATGAGGTCAGGGCCTCAGGGGCCTTCATCCAGGCCCTCGAGCTGGAGCCTACACTTGCTCTGAGCAGCTTGAGTGAGAGGCCAGGCCGGGCCTCCATCGCCCAAGTGCTCCATCACTACGGGCAGCGCTGCTTAGAGGACCACCGCCATGCAGAGGCCTGGGCAGCAGCCGAGAATGGCTTGCTTGTGGACCCTGAGCATAGTGGCCTGAAGAAGCTGAAGGCAAGGACTCGCAGGGAGGCATCATCGGGCTGCCGACTCCACTGACCCCTCTTTAGTTATTTTCATCAAATGTCCAGGCCCTTGAGCTACAGCCTCCTGGAACCAGATGATCTGGTGGGCCTAGATAAGAAGGCTCTATTTTTGCCTTGGAAGTAAAGGGAGAGTTTCCTATTCGCATGGCGGATCATCCTGAGGGGCACAGACTTAAGATGTCAGGGTTCTCCGGAGAAACAGAGCCAGGAAGATATATAGACAGAGGTAGATTGTTTTAAGAATTGACATAAGTGATTATGTTATTTTTAAGTCCCATGGAGTCACTTCCGAGTCATAGCCACCCTGTATAGGGTTTTCAAGGAGCAGCTAGTGAGTTTGAACTGCTGTCTTGGGGTCCACAGTCCAACATTGATCTTACAGTGCCGCATGTGATTATGGTGGTGGTTGTTACGTACCCAGAAGTCAGTTCCGACTCATAGTGACCCTGCATAGGATTTCCGAGGCTGTACATCTTTACAGGACCAGAAAGCCTTATTCTCCGGCAGAACCGCTGGTGGTTTCGAACTGCTGACCCTGAGATTGGTAAGTCCAAAATCTGTAGGTCAAACAACAGGCTGGAGAGTCCTGCAGTCTTGTGTCCCAAAATGCTGACTTATACTCTGAATACAAAATACTCCTTAGTCCGGCTTTCACCTGATTAGGTAGGTGAGGCTACAGGTCAACAGTTCAAACCCACCAGCTGCTCCTCAGAAACCCTATACAGAGTTGCTATGAGTTGGAACCGACTCAACTGCATTTAACATCAACAACACTCACATTATGGATGTGACCTGCTTTTCTTAAAGCCAACTGATGTAATCACCTGGAACTACTCCATATCAGCAACTAGACTGGTGATTGGCCAGACAACTGAGAATCAGCCAATCCAAGTGGACCCATGAAATTCACCATTACCACCCAAACATATCTACTCTGTTGTTAAGTGCTGTCAAGTCGGTTCTGACCCATAGCGACCCTGTATAGGGTTTCCGAGGAGCAGCTGGTGAGCTTGAACTTCTGACCTTGCAGTTCAAATGGCTTTGCCGTCTGGAATAGATATAAAACCTCTACAGAACAGTTACCGTAAAAGGAGGTTCTCAAAGAGCTACCCTCAAAGCAAGGCCCAGTGCCAGGTAGCATCAGAGGAAACAGCCTTTAAAACACTCAACTCTAAATTGCTTTAAACTCCTTCATTGTCAAAAGAAGAAGAGAAAATCTACCCGATTCTTTTGTTGTTGTTGTTTTTAAGCTTTTGTTGTGAATTGAGTGAAAGTTTATAGGGCAGATCATACGTTTTACATTCAATAAATCAGAACTTGTTTCACTGCAATGATTACAATCCCCTCCATGTACCATCAGTTAACAATATTTACCTATATAAACCTCCCCCTTTTTTTTTTCTGATGAACACATACCACACGCAGAACATATATTTGTTTAAATGTCCAGAGGGCACACTTTGCAAGCCAGCCTCCTGCCTGCAGGCTCACAGTCTTTCCCGTTCCATGGGCCTAGAGTCCTCAGCTGTTCTCTCTCTCTCTATGCCACTGTCTCTACTGTCACTGATTTTCTGGTTAGGATCCCACACTCTACTCATGGTCTTCCCTCACAATGGTCCTAGGGTCCTTGGTTCCTAAAATGGCAGGTTAACTATTCCCCCATTTAGTTACACCTTTTCTATATTTACAGTTCACAGCTTCATTAGACCTGAAAACAATTACTCATGTTGAATCATAAACTCCTATCCCCATCGTCCTCCATCTCCTTTCACCAGACCCATCCTGACAAGAGGAAAACTCTTCAGCAGGGGTTCTACCCTACCCACCCCCCACCACCTCATTCTGAAACTAAGCACACTCATGAATGCTTGTAAACCAGTCACTTTGTGCCTTTTTAGCCCCACATTTTTGATAACCATTGTCTAATTCTCCTGTTCCTATCAACCCAGTGTACTGAGGAGGCAAGCTTGATCCTTGCTATGGAGAGTCCTTTCCTTTGGGTTGGAATTTTGAGCAACTACATCCATAGCAAAGGTCTAGTTCATCAAGTTGAAGCAATTTACGGTTGCTCCCGGTGTGAAACTTCTTTATCTTCATCTGGCCAAGTTCTAATCAGCAATCCTTCCAAGCTAGATCCCATAGATACTATCTGCAAGTTTGGGAGTTCTTGCCCACCTCCCCCTGATTTCAAGCCAGTTAACCACTTCACTTTTAACTTTAGTCCCCAGTAGCTAGGTCAGTGTCCATGGACTTAGCAGTTCACACGTCTCCCTGAACTTTAGACCAGCCAGCCCTACCTCTTCTCTCATCTCAAGGTCAACAGGTGTTTATGGGACGTGACCAAACTCAGGCTGTGACTTCCTTGCTGGATTTCCCACTTCCACTCATAAGTATACCAGGGTGGTCACCAGTAAGCATACAAGACTACTCATGTGTTCTCTTTGAGTTTCACTCTTAGAGGGGGTTTCCCATGGTGGGCTGGCTTTTCTTGCCTTGGTGGTTCCAAGGCAAACAGCTTGCTTGATCTTATAACAGCCAAACAGTCTGCTTTTTTGTGGGGTTTTTTTTTCCTTGCTGGTATTTCTTTCAAGAAATATCTTTTGTTCCTCTAGCCATTCCACATTGGTCTGCATGTCTTTTCAAGTAGGAATGTCCCACCTCAGAAGGTTCTGGGTGGGGCTCAGGATTCCACCTAAGGCCCCATACTCCAGAAAGGCTTAATAGGAAGCCTGTTTCCCTGGGCAAATTCTAGTACCCCTTTTAGCTAATCAGCTAATCCACTCAGTTACCTGGTTCTTTTTAAGCAAATGTAGTTTCAACCAAAAGAAAACCACAAGTTAATTTTGTTTATGATTATCACTTCCAAAATCATAAACAAAATAGCAACAGACAGAAATCCAACAGCCCATTAAAAGGATAAAGCAAGGATTTATACAGGTATGCAAGGATAGTTCAAATCAGGAAATGTGTTTATATAGTTTTTCATGGTGATAGAGCTTCCTGTTAAGCGATATAAAGATTGTGAGCATGGTGCAGGACCAGGTGATGTTCTGTTCTGTCACTATGAGTCAGAGCCAACTCGATGGCCCCTAACAAGAAAAGCCATCTCCACGATTCTTTTAATCTACTTGGTGTTTATTTTGTCCTTGTCATTCAAAAATATTTGCGTCTTTGTGATTTTTCCTATTCTCATTTAAATTAGTCATTGGTTTATCTATTTTATCATGGTGGTTGTTGATGGGAATATATACAATGGAACATAAACCAATTCAACAGTTTCTACAATTCTGTAACATTGATCACATGTATCCACATCAATAAATCCACCCCCTTCCTGTGTTATGTTTCATCTTCTTTGGTCCAATACTATAAAAATGTCATAGCAGAGGCGTCTGACCTCTAACTTCATGAAGGAGACAGAGAAAGCCAACAGTCCAAGGCTGATTCCTGTGAGGTAAATGTCAGACATGCCTCTACCTTCCAATCTTTTTAACAGTTCTGAAATCAGTGGTTCCTCTCATGGCAATCTCAATTTCTCTGTTGAGTTTGATGTTGTTGTTGTTGTTAAGTGCCGTAGAGTCAGTTCCGACCCATAGCGACCCTGTACAGGGTTTCCGAGGGTGTAAATCTTTACGGGAGTAGAAAGCCTCATCTTTCTCCC